TGTTTGCCCCGAAAACCCAACTGAACTTGAATGTAGTAAGCTTCCTCCTCCTCCTATCCGTCATTTATTGCACACCCTCCACAGGGTGGTCTGTCAGCGCCGTTCTTTCGTCTGACGGTCTGGTGGGAGGGAGGGACGCACTGTCGCAATGGGCCGTAAACGAGGATTTCAACTAACTGGTGCCGCGTGGATCATTCGCTTATCGCTGCATAAAATCCAGCGGCCGCGCTCTTTTTTTTCTGCAGTCTTTAGCACTGGAGTTGTTGTTTGCACGTCAGCCTCTGTCAGCAGTGGGCCGCGCATGGCCACAGTTCACGGGAGTCATAGCGCAGGCAGGCGCCGTTATGTCGCCCACGGCCGCTAGTCTCCCTTCTAGTACCGCACAACTGCTAGAATCCATACTCATGGCCCTTGCAATCATCACTTGCGGGCAGGCCGTCCACGGCAAAGGCATCAACTCAATGATAGTAAGTTAAGGAATAGGCTTTAGAGAGATACGAAGGACGATTTCAAATACGGTGTCTTTGTTGTCCCTGTCCTAAGAGGAAACAGGTTTCATCATTTTTTTTTTCGAATAGGGACCTTACCATGCGTACGTGGAGCGGTTTTACTTGTGCGACCCCGAAAACCGGACGCTTCCCTTGAGATGGTATTTGCGTGGGTCTCACTTCAACCCATATAAACCAAAAGAGTTGCAACGCCTGACAGGCAATATAACGCTTACAAATGCAACTTTTGATGACAGCTGCTGGGTAAGGCATTGCTAGTAGAATATTGTGACATCAAATGCTAACAAGTGAATTTCAAAGTGTCCACGGACTCACTCTTTTGTGGGTAAAACATCTCGTCACGCACTTTTAAGTATGTACACTGAGAAAATGTTTGGTCACCACGGTCGAAAAATTTGGTTGCTGTAACTAAAATGGTGTTCTATCTGTCCCCTTAGTCATAACCATCATGCTGGCTGAGCGTTCGGACGCTCCAACCAAACACTCCAGCCAGCACGATAGAACGTTCTATGGTTATGACTAAGGGGGCAGATAGAAAACCATTTTAGTTACAGCAACCAAAGTATTTTTCTCCGTGTAGGTTAGTGTCACTTTTAGACAAAACACCAAATAAAGGAGGAATTTAAAAACGATTATTGACCAAAAATTTACTTTTTTCACAGATGAAAATAATTTTAGATATTCGTTCAAATAACCAATGGAAGGAAAACGCATGTGTCTTCAATTTTAGAAAGAATGCATGTCGCCTTCTTAAAGAAAATGTTCCCAAATATTACGAGGCGGTTTTGAAGAAAGGAGAAAGCAACGGCGCGTGCATTTTCAAACCCGTAAGTCTACTTAGACTACCCCAGTGCGAAATGAATTTTTTGTCGATGTCGAAACGATGTCGATATGACATCGTGAGTCGAAATTGTGGACAGGTTTGAGTCGTCAACGTCTTAAATCTGTGCCTCGACTTAGGACATCGTAACGACATCGTTTCGACATATACAATAAAAAGCATTTCGCACTGAGGCAAGTCTGGCTTCATAAGAAATAAGAAAAACATAGGTAGGACTCCATCGTCCATCGTTGGTGCAGATAATGTGCCTTGTGGCTTGTTTACACCGGCGCTGGTAATATCCGGTTAAATGCCTTTCTAGGGGTACAAATGTTAAATGGATTTGCAAAGTCATTAAAATTCTTTACGTCCTATCTTTGTTTTTCCAGTGTCGTCCTCATGTTACGAATGTATTTTTCTGACATATTTTACGGGTAGAAGGCAAAGTGACAACTGTTGCGGCTTCACACAGAAAAGATAATTTATAAATGAGGAGTCTGAGATTACTTTTATTTACAGGGAGTTTACAAGGTCAACAATGCATCAGTCGACTGGACGTTTCCAAATGTTCCTATCCTACCCTATGGAAGGTATAGGTTACGATGTCTGATTGGCAAAGCTGATAACCAATACTCATGCTGGGCTGCAGATTGTGTGACTGTTCCGAAATCCGACTAGCACCATGATTATCCTGAGACATATTATATCAGGTGGCTGATTCACGCCGCGCACTTCCATAGTTATTCTGTACCGCATGCACGAGTGCGGGCAGTTTGCCTACTCGCTCGGCTCGTAAGGCGCCGTGGACAGGGGCTATATAGGCAAGCCCGCCCGCACTCGTGCGTGCGGTACAGCATGACTACAGAAGTGCGCGGCGTGAATCAGCCACCTGGTACATACGCGCGGTGCGGCGGGGCGCATTGGTCCGAGAAACGGAGAATTTTGGGAGCACCAATTGGTGCGAATATCCATTTGTTTGTTCAGAATATCGCGCGATTTTCGATGTTTTGTATCTACTGCCCTGTTTGGTTCACTGATGAGACAAAGTGTTCAACTGCTCAACACCTGTAAGTGTGCAACTTCAAGTTGAATACCTGCAAGTGTTCAACACGCT